GGAGAACTCCCTTTTGCCCCCCCCCCCCCCCCCAAGAAAAAAAAAAGAAGAAAAAGGAAGAAGGTGGAGCAGCGCATGTGAGTGCAGCATGCATTACCCAAAACTAGAGCCTGGCTGGCTGGAGCCATGCTCCGGTTGCCAACCAAGCTCTGAGCAGCAGGATCACCACTGCTGCAGCCTCAGGAGGCCTCCAGGCCCCAGGTAAGGCTGCAGCCCCAGTGCTGGCCCCAGCCCCCTCTACCCGATCCAGGGTAACCTGCCACGCACCAGAGAGCATGTGACACAGGCGTTCCCTGGAGACAAGTAGCAGTGGCACAAAGTGTACCACTCCTTCTTGTCCCCAGGGACAAAAAAATGTGCATGCTCATTGGACACAACCTGCATGTGCAGATCAGGTATTTGGGATAAATGGTACCTGCAGCCTGTGGGATATACTTGTAGAGGCACAAACACCAACAGCACAAATTTGTGCTGCTGCTTTGCGCTCCATTGCATGCCCCTGCACATGTGCTTTGGCCTGCAGGAACTTCTCCTGGGTAGGTGAGGCTGTAGCCGGCATCAGTATTACCTCATGTCCTGGTGCAGCAGGGGTGCAGATCTGGCAGCCAGAGCATTGCTCCGGATGGCCAGCCCTCTGTTTGTTCCAGTGCACATTACTGACACGTGCTCTGCAGCACTTGTTTCCTTAAAGTTTTTTTGTTATCAGGATTTCCCAGTAGCAAATGTTGCCACTGCACTGCAAATCTGCAGTGCAGCACATGTTTTCACATTCCCTATGTGTAATATGTGGCACAACAAAGCAGTTTGTTGCACCACAAACTGCATGCCCCTGCACGTGGGGACCTACCATATAGGTGCAAAAGGAGAGCCCATATTTTAAAATGTGACCTGTAACATAGACATCATGTATAAAGGCCCAGTAGGATTGGCTCTTAAATTAGGAGGGTTCTATAGAGAAAAGAACTGTCAAAAGAAGCAAGATGTTGGACTAATACAGTCTTTTTTTGCTGCTTGCAAAAAAACAAAAGAAGCGCCTTACTGGAAAAAGCAGCGTATTTAGTTCCACGCGGCTCTGCATTTGTATAGATTTGGTGGGACTTTTTGGCCCTTTTATCTAATAGCTGTTTGATTCAGCTGTTGGTTAAAAGGGCTAAAATGCCCCACTGACGTGCCCTAGATTCAGATGTTGGGTGAGCCAGGTGTTACTACCGTGCCACCTCTTCTGGGTATGCTGCGGACTTGGCACAGGAGCATCCAAAGTAAAGCTCTGGTTGGTTTGTTTGGGTTTTTTTTAGCTTTTTAACATCTGCAAGCAGGCTAATAATACAATATACCATTGACTGCAGCAGCCTTGTTTCTGACACACAATTTCCCAATTTTCACCTTTATTTTGATTACTTGCACTGACCAAAAAAAGTTATTTCACAACTGGGAGAGCATAATGTATTAATAAGGGGCATAGCTTGCTTTGTTTTATATCCCATACATTAAGTGAGTACTTCTCTTTAAACAGTAGCTACATTAGGAGACATGTGGACTGTTATGATTGTTTTAGAGGACAGGATTGAACCCAGAGCACTGAGAAGACTGATCCCAGGCAGAGGTGACTGGGTATTGCAGGCATCTTAAATGCTGAAATGCTTTCAATAACTTAAATGCTGTTCTGTGGGGTGTGGAAATCACCCTTCACTTTTTGCTGTAGCAGACCAAAAAAGGCACTGAGTAAAAAGGAGTTTAGTACTAATTTAGCAGCCCATGTTAATCGTTTGATTTGCATGCACCAAAAACCATGTATGCTGCATTTTCTCATTTTAGGAAAAGGTTCAGCTTGAATAAATCATGCACTTACTTGTGAGCCATTAAACCCATTTCAGCTATGCACGGGAGGTTGGTTATCCATTACGTAGTCATGGATTCACAGTTTAAAAGGTATAGGGTATAAGCTAAGAAACATGAAAGAAGGCCATGTCAACCTTCCACCCAAAACAAATCTCAATTTCACTTGTCATATTTTGCAAGTTATATAATGAAGTAGGTGTACCCCACTTCCCTTGCTGTAATGATGGATACCAGAAGAGCCACAGTGTCCATAACTTATGCTAAGTATCAGGAATGCGGAATATTATGGGGTTTACTTGATAGCACTCTAGGTGTCTGGACAGTCGTCATGATGGCTGTCTTTATGTTACCTTGCACCCTGTGGCTACTATGTTTAGAGTTTTTTATCAGTGATTTCTGGAACTACTCAGTAAATTACATATGATGTGAAGCTGCTTCTAATTCAAAAAAGTAGCTTTGTTTCTTCCAGCCTTTGTAAATCACCATAGTAAAATTAACATAGATGCAATGACCAAATTAAGTTAGTTGCAATCAGATCATTTTCAGCTCACTTACTAAGTTGTTGTGTTCAATTTACCTCAATCACTTTCCATCAAATTTAATTCTGACAGATGGACAGAGAAGATTAGAGGTAAGGGAAAAGAGTTGCACTATTGTAATCAAAAGTAACTGGGTGAGCATAGAATTGTAGATGTCATTGGTCAATGGGAATAAACACCCATGTTCCAGACATGCTGAGCAAGGTGAAGCCTGGGGAAGTTCAGGAAATGGATAAAATATCTGCCCCTCCTCCCCTTCCCCAACTTGGTAGGACCAGACACATGGGTAGCACCCACATCCAAGTGTGCTAGGGTAGAAGCATTTTTTTAAAAGGTGTGGGGGTGGTGCTAGATGGGACTTCAGGAGGTCATCTAGTCCAACTCCTTGCTCAAAGCATGATCCTTCTTCTTTAAGTCAGATCTCATCCAAAGTATTGTGTAACTGGGCCTTAACCTTCCAAGCACAGCGATTCCACAGCCTCTCTAAGGAATCTGTTCCAATTCTTAACTACCGTCGTAGTTAGGAAGTTCTTCCTCATATCTAACCTAAAGTTCCCTTTTTTGCACTTTGAAACTTGTTACTTCTTGTCCTGTTTTTTGATTAGGTAGAGGATAGTCTATCACGGGATGGGCAATTATTTTGGCTGGAGACCCGCTTAATGAGTTTTGGTTAGCTGTTGAGGGCCACAAGGGTAGCCCTGCCCCCTGGTCACCGTCTTGGGGTTGGAAGTTCTGCCTCTAACCCCTGACCTTTGCCACCAGAAGTCTCTCCCCTTACCCCTGGAAAGTATTCCTTTTGGGAGTGGGAGTTTGCCATCTTGGAACCAAAAAAACTGCAACTTGTATACTAAAAGTCAAACATCTGCTATAAAATGTATTTTAATTTTAATTACAAAATTTTTGTCATGATGTGTTTTCATACTATATATAGAGATGATTGCATAATAGCTCGAAAATAAAGTCTTACCCTTATATCTTGTGTGTGGGGTGTGGTTGGGGGTGGATGTGTGTGGTTTGTGAGGGGGTGTGGCTGTGTGTGGGGGGGCATAGGGTATTTTGGGGGGGTATATGTAGGGGGGTGTGGGGGCAGGGTATGGGTGTGAGAGAGGATGGGGGAGTGTGGGATTCCTCGCACAGTCCCCTCCCTATGGTGCACAGCTCTTGCCACCAGTGGTAGCAGCAGGCAGTGGGTGATCATGGTGCTTGTGTCCCATGCAGTCACTGCCACCTGGCAGTGCACAGTTCTGGCTAGCACTGTATGTGGTGGCAAGAAGCACAGTGAGGCTGGCCCTCCTGTATTGCATGGGGCTCCCCACAGTGCACATGCAGCTCCTGGCACTTATGCACCATTGGGGGAAGCCCCACAAAATGGACTGGCTGCCTTCCCTGTCCCCTACCATGCAGGTCCCAGGTATCTGCTGGGAAGCAGAGAGCTGTGCTCCCCTCTACTTCCAGTGGAGTCCTGAGATCTGCAAGGCAGGGGGTGGGGAAGGCAGCTGTCTCCATTATGTGGGATGTCCCCTGCTGGCATGCGAGTGCCAGGAGCTATAAGTGCACTGTGCAGTAGAGACACGTTTGCCTCACTGCGCTCCTTGCCACCACATGCAGCACTGGCTGGAGCTGTGCACAGGTAGGCGGCAGCACCTGCACAGGCCATGAGTGCCATGAGCACCTGCTGGTGGTGGTAGGGGCTATGTACCATGGGGGGGATTGTGTGGAAGGTCCCCAGACACCCACACCCTGCCCACTTGAGCTCCATGCTCCTACCACCCCCACCCCATGCTCCATACCCCCACCCAGCTGAAGCTTCCACTCCCCCTACCACTTCCCTACCTACTGCCTGGAGTGAGTGCTGCAGCAGGGAGATGAGAAGGAACTGCTGGACACTGGGGAAGCCAAGTAGGCCCCCCAGTGGCTGTAGCAGTGGTGGCAGCAGCATCACCCAGCAGCTGCATGCTGGCTGGGCTGGGCTCTTCTGCACACAAGGGTGGGAGCAAGGTGTATGGGCTAGGTGGGTTACAATTAATTGGTGGGTGCCCATGGGCCAGATGAAATTGCCTGGTGGGCTAGATGTGGCCCATAGGCTGTATTTTGCCTGCCCCTAGTCTATCACCACCTTCTCTAACTCTTTTTATAGCAACCTATATACAAACCACTTGGTATTTGAACTCTGTTATCACATCACCCATCAGTCCTTTCTGTTCCAAACTAAATAATCCCAGTTGTTCCTGCTTTCCTTTCTATAATCTGAATGTACTTAATTTTCATAGTTTTTGTTAGACTCTTTCCAATTTCATTGTTTCTATGTCTTTGAAGTGTGGTGGGCAAAATTCTTTCCTGACCCTAAATGTGGCAATCAGCCTGACCCTCAGCAGTAGGGCAAGATCCTCTAGCCAGGAACTTCCAGATTTAGGTCCCAGCAGGAGTCCCTGTGCCCTGCTGCCACTTGCCCAGCTGGTTTGGGGGGGCACAATGTAGGCGCTACTCACTCCGGGCAGAGTGGGGCAAGTGGCAGAAGGGCATAGCCCCTCCTCCCAGTGCTGCTGCACCTGCACTCCGCCCCGGCTGGGCAAACGGCAGCAGTGCCTGCATCCCACGCCCCCTTGCCTTTGGCACACCCCAGTCAAAATCCCCAGCTTTGGCTACTGCCAGCACCCAATGCTACTGAGGAATGCTTAAATAAAACCCTGATGCATGTAGCATCAAATAGGGAAAAAATTATCCACTCTAAACCTGTTTGGCGGCAATTTCAAGCCCCAAGATCAAGCGTCTACCCCTCCTTGCTTCGCTGAAATTCACAAAAACATCTTTTTCTCTCTCTCTCTCTCTCTCTCTTTTTTTTTCTCTGCTGCTGCAGTCCTCAAGTACCACGAGAATCCTCCATGGGTGCCAAAGTGCCTGGCCCCTGTGCTAGAAGGAATGTGATCACTCCACTCCTCCTGCCCAGAACCAGGTGCCCCAGCATACTGCAGATAAATGGTACCCACAGCTGCTCCCTGCCCCAGCCACCTCTGTTCTGCCATGCACATGCAGATGGGTGGACGAGGGGCCACACTTTTCTGTTCAGCTCCCCCACAATATAACTGACTTCCAATCCTGGGTTTGTTTTATCTTCTTAATCCATAGTTGCCATGATACAGGAAAGTAGTAGTTGTGAACTGCTTAGTTCAGCTACAGCCAAAGGAGCTAAGCAACAATGAACATGCAGCAGAACAAAGCTGCTGTTCTAAAGGCCTGGGACTACAGTAATTCAGCATGGAGGGCTAGCTGCCTTTTGTCTCTAAATCCTTCCTACCATTTTGCTAATGGAAAGGAGAAAAATGTAGGAGGTATGAAGGGACCAGGGAAGAGGAAGTTTAAGTGATCCATAATCCCCTACATAGTCAGAATTTTTCTCCCTACATGTGAAACTGTAGCCAAATCTCTCAAAACTGTTGCAGACATTGAACATCCAGGGAAATTAGGTGTTTAGAGAGAAACTGTTTATAAAAGGTGGGAGCAAAGTCTCTTGTAGTACAGCTTTGATATAGGGAGTACTGTATATGTATTTACCAAAACAGAGAAATGAGTGAAGGCTCAAAGTGTGAAACAAAATATATATCCAATACTGAGCAGAGATCTTAAGCAATTTTTTTCCTCTACATTTTATGTAGAGGGACAGCTTTATTCATTTTGCATTAAGGAGTAGCTGGATACAATACATAAATTAATTCAGAGCAATAAGTGGAACTTGAGACTTCCCCCTCCCATGGCTGTAGAGTTATGCACACTATGTGGACATATGAATCTTTCATCTCTTTGGGCATGTAACACTATGTCATGGTAGCAAAGGACATCTACATGTGACCAACAGCTACTTCACAGTAGTGATGCACTCCCCTGGTATTGTGTGCTACTATGGCAAAGTAGCTGCTAAAAATAACCATGCGCCACACATACAGTGCAGTACGGGCTGTTCCTGTGCCATGATTTAGTACTTCCAAAAGGCAATACTAAATCACAGCACAGTAACAATGTTGCCATGTGACATGTGTAAATGTGCCCTTTCTCTACAATAGTCCAGCATTTAAAGGAAGAGTGTGGAGTGCTTACATCCTCCTTCAAGCATGATGGCTAGGGCACTCATAGCAGCTGATGGACTTCAAAAATCTCTCAGGCTGAGGAAGGCCTACAGCTGAGATCTCCCACTTTTTGAGTGAACATTCTAACCAGTAGGCTATCACATAAAGAGGTGTTTCCTGCAGCGGTGGGGGTGGGGGGGGCTGTTGGATTGAGTTTGCCTATATTCAAAGTGATGACTTAAACACCTGTGTCTAGGCACCAGGTTCTAGTACTTTTGCCTCAAGAAAAAATACTAGTTAAACTTGAAAAGATGGAAAATGATGCCATAATCATAAGGTGGATATAGAGTTGGATGAAAGGGAGACTTGAAAGTGGTATATAGAAAAAAGTTATCAGACTGGAGGGAGGACTTGGTCCTCAGATCTCTTTAGCACTTCCACTGGTGCAAAAGCTAGATATCCAAACATGAAATTTGTGGATAACAAAACTGAGAGAGAGTGCCAAGAGGAGGATCAAATTATCATACAGGAAGGTTAGATAGTTGTGTGGAGAGGAGCAATAAGAATGGAACAAAATTGACTAGTACAAACTCATGCACTTGAACAAATAAGAGCTCTTGCTGCAAGACATGGATTCAAAACTGGAGGCAGCAGAGGTGAATCTGCGTGCATTGATTTTAATTGCTGGACAACCATGAGTTTGCCATGAGTGTGATGTTGCTGTGAAAGACTGTAGAAATTCTAAAGTATGTACTGTACGGTACCTGGCTGAAAGATCTTGCTCATGCACCCAGGGCCAAATAGATTGCCAGAATGCATACATGCATTATTTTACTTTTGTTGTATCATTGGGCATGGTCATGGGCAACTTGTGCCTCCCGAATCTGGGGGGGGGCACCAGAATGCCGACAGGGGAGGGTCTCCCAGCAGCTGATCACTGAGCCAGCAGTGAAACCGGGAATGGACTTCTTCCGGCACTTCCGGTTTCACGGCTGGCACTTCCAGGAGGTGCATGGCCAATCTCAAGGGGTGTACGTGCACCCCCAACACATCGCCAGTGGGCACAGTCCCTCTTCTAGGATCATCTGAACATGTTTTAATCTATTATCCTTCCACTGTAGTAGCAAGAAATTGATAATATTCTTTTTTGCTGTCTTCATAATAATAGGGTTTCTTAATGGGTGCTTTGCAAAAAGGCCTTGTATAGATGTTTCTGTGTGGACCCTTTCAGATAAACAGTTGTTTGTTAGGGCTGTGCAAAGCTTTGGTAGCCAGTTGAGTTCAGAGGAGATTTGACCCAATTCGGTGGCTGAATCTCTGAATCTGAATTGAATCGGGAGACCAATTAAAAGGTCTGAATCAAATTGGAAGCCTTGAATCAATTCAGAAAAGATTCAATGCTGCTTCGGAGATTCAGCCACAGACTAAGCACAGCTGCTGGACACGGCTGTCTCCAGCTGGTAAATCTGTTGTGGGCCCCTCCCAGTCCTACTCTTTGCTTGCTGGTTCTAGTGAAACAGCCTTTTGCTTAGCCATGGAAATGGCTATGTAGTTCGAATATATAGGGCGTAGCTCTTAGAGTGATGTCAGCAGTTGCCTGAGACTTGTGGTACATCTGGCACTTCAGCTAGTGCCAACTGATTCTAACTCAAGGTCAGGTGCATGACAACAGTGAGCAGCTGTAATTATGCTTTTTTCAAAAAAAAAATTGTAACTCTCAACTTCATGATTGTACAGTTAACGTATTTTTAAAAAAATGTCAGTGCATAGAGTGTTTTACATTTGGACTCAAATATTGTTGCTCTTGAAAATTTTACCCCTGAAGGATGATGCCAGCATGCCCTTTACACCTCAATGGAAGGGCTGCTTTTTGGGTATTCCACAATATAGATTTCATAGTGGCTGGTGTCTGACAGGCACTCAAAGGATATTCTTGATTATAGCTTAGTAGTGGTGCATTAATGTATTTGTTTGCTGAATCCGAAATCATCTATCCATAATCAAAGTGTTCGCAGACAGGAGGGACTATTGAATATGTACCTAGTTTGTGTACCTATCATCAGCAATCTGTTAAGATTCACTGACTCGAACTTTAACAAGATGTGCAGGGTTGCATTGGAGCTGTCAGTAGTTCAGATGTTTTACACTCTGCAATTCTCATGTGGATTCCCCCAGGCCTAGAGATAGTGAAGGAGAGACTGTTGGCAGTATAATTAGCCAGGAGAATGCCTTCTTGGATATGCCTATAGTCAAATCTGTCAGTTAGATGGCATCTATTCCTCTGCATGAAACTTCATGTTAAATGCATACCCATTAAATGAATCGCTTTTACAAAGCAATACACTTTGGCTAGGGGGATTGAAATAGTTTTAAAAAGAATTTAATGAAATGCAGCTAAGACAGGAATATCCATATTTTGGTCTATTTCTGGGGCCTTTTTTGGTGGTGTGAGTTTTGGAAGTGATTCTAAAATTGTTGCTGGCTAAAGGCATAAGTCTAACGATAGACTATTGTGGGGGAAGATGTAGGTCAGCTTGCCATCATCAAATAGATGGGGAATTCCTTCCATCCACTCACAGTTCATTTTCTGTTGGACAGATGTTGATAACAAATATCTAATGTTGCTTCTGACTTACACTGTGCATTTGCGCATAATTGGATTAATTCATGTTTAAGAAAATATCCCATTGGCAAACTAGTAGTGGATTTTACTGACTTAACATACAGACTTAGCCATCATGCATGCATCTCTTTCCAGTGTGGTCAGTTAGCAGTTGGAGCACAAAATACTTTGGAAAAAATGAGGAGAGATTGGTTATGTTTAGGCTGAACTGGCACTTATTCTGAATTAATTTACTCATTTATGGAAACTTTTATTTTTAGAATTAGGTTACCCATACCCTACACTGTGCGGCACACTGAATCAAGTCAGAGCAGCCCCAGTTGGCAGCAGCCCAGGGCTGCTTTGACTGGGTTCAATGTGCTGCAGAGGGGCAGGTAGGCAACTCCTGCAACAAAGCACCCTTGTGCCCCAGCCAGCTGAGCAACCTCTAAATGTGTGCTGCTGTACACACACAAAAATGCGACCTTCAGAGCAGGCTAGGGGTAGAACTATATTAGTTTTGTGCACCCTAATAGGCCCATATATGTAGACGCTGAGAGGTTTACTGTGGAGCTAATTAGGCAGCTCCCTAGTAAATGTCTCATGTAGATGCACCCACTAAGAATTGGATATAATGTAGGCAGCCTCTACAACAGGGGTGGGCAATTATTTGAACTGGAGGGTCACTTAATTGGGGACCTGTTGAGGACCACATCCATCTCTGTCTCTCTCCCTTCCCCCCCTCTATCTCTCTTCCTCTCTGTCTGTCTCTCTCTTTCCCCCACCTGTCTGTCTGTCTGTCTGTCTGTCTCTTCCCCACCTCTCTCCATCTCTCTTTCTTTCTCTTTCTCTCTCTCTCTCTCTCTTTCCACCACCCACTGTCTGTCTGTCTTTCCCCCACTGTCTGTCTATCTCTTTCCACCCCCGCCTCTGACTGGGCTCAGTGTGCTGTAGGGGCCCTCCCTCCTGAACCTAGCTGAAGCTGTAGTTTGCCTGGAGCCCAGACACTCAGATGCAGACCCAGGCGGGAGCTGCTGCTGTGCTAGGCAGGCAGCAGTTCCAGCTTCAGCTGGGTTCTGCAAGGAGGGGGAGGGATGGAGAAGGGAAGGGGCGAGAGGCAAAGATGAGAAGAGCAAAGAGAGATGCTGCCATCTGGTGCAACAGCAGCAGCTCCTGCCTAAGTCCATAGTTGATGCCCCTGGCAGGCTCTGGGTTGGGGCTCCAAGTAGGAGCTTCTACCGTGCCAAGAGGATAGTGGGTCAGCTGTGGATGCTGCCACCTGGTTCTGTA